TTTTAAGATCCTCCACCTTTGCTTGTTCTTTTGTCTATATGTCTGTATCATCCTCATCCTTATCATGTTCCCCCTCCTCACCCCTCTCGTCGTCCTTGTCACTCTCACCTTCCTCATCTTCATCCTCATCCTCATCCTCTTCCTCTTCTATGATAGCCCTCTTTGATTGCAACTCTAGTAGCTTGTTAGCCATGTAAGACATGACTCTCTCCTATACTTCCTTCATTTCCTACAAAACATAAAATGTGCCTTATTCACAATAATATGTTCATATTTCATAATGAAATATTCATAAATTAACATTGGCAAAACAGACCTTCTCTATGTGTAAGCCTTCATTCTTACGTACACATCCTTCATGTCCTGCACATCAAAAAGTCTACTTATTCTAAACTTAGGGTTTACTTACTCATAACTAAAGGATCCAAAAACACTATTGGGTTAAAAGTATACACACCTTGTCATAAAAGGCAGTAATTGGAAGCAGCTGGGTCGAGGTACTAAGGTTGGCATCACAGTAGGTTGGTGCTTTAGTGTACAATAAGCCATAGCAGCTCAGGTGCTCAACCTTCACCATTTTATTAACCCTTTCTTCAATCTAATGCCCCATTGTATCACTAGCTAGGGGTACAGCTTTGTTGAGAGGAAAATTTTAGAGATAGAAAATTTGAAACATCAATTCAATGTAAGGATAGCTTTAACAACTAAGGTTCATAAAAATAGCAAAAATAATGTAGCTTACTGATAAGAAGTAAAGGCATCCTCCAATATATTTGGTTCCCTTTGACTTCCCCTTCTTAACATGCTCCTTGTAGAGCTGAATCTCTCAATTCAACTCCTCCAACATAAAAGCAGCCCAATTAAAATCAGACCATGCATCATTTGTACATGCCAACACTTTCAATGCCTTATTAGTAACTCGAGGACTTCCCCTAGAACATAAAAGAGTTCCAAGTGTCAACAATAAAAAATGAAACTCAAACTTGTCATTCTCAAACTCTAAAGTGATCTTGTTCTTTAAGTCATTTAATGACATTAATGTATAATCACTCTTCAATTCTGTTACCAACTCCTTATTAACATTTAAATCTACTACCCTTGTAGCATTAGGTAGCCCCATAATTTGTTGCAAGTCCCCTGCTCTCACTAATACTGTTTTCTTCCTTATTGTCATTTTCTGAGTTGGAGGATCATAAGATCACATGATTTTCCTGCATAACTCTCTCAAGATTTTCAAACCTTCTACATCCAACAATTTAGAAAACCCAATTGCCTCAACTTTTTCTTTCAAATGGCCCTTTTCTTTTATGAAGTTAGTAATTTCTTTGAATTTTGCTAGAGAACATAGGGTATGGAAAGGAATTTTGTATTTATTTTGCATTTTCACCTCTCTATTTTCAGTGGCCTTCATTCTATATGGTTCCCTCTCCTCTATACTCATTTCTTTCCATATTTCAACTGTAGCCTCATTTGAATCTCCTACTTTTTTATATTTGCCTTCATTAATCTCTAAAAATTTTCTTCTAAAATCATGCCATCCTGTAGTTGATGTTGGCTTATGTGGTTTGTTGAAAGCCATTTTATGCTAAGCACCTACACAAATTAACAATCCAAAAGTTCAGAGTTAACAATTTCTAGAATTGATGGAATCAAAAAATTTACAGCCTATTATCTGAAGAATTTACAGTATCTATTATGCTGCACACACACATACACATCTCTTTTAGGCCTGTTTGGTATGATAGAAGAGTTTTTGATAGAATCAGAATCGAAAGCGGAATTGAAATCGGAATCAGAATTGAATTGAGTTTTAAAAGTGTGTTTGGTATAAAGATAGAATCATGATATAATTTTAATAAGTATATGTATTTAAAATATAAAAAATCAAAATGCCCTTTATTTTATTTTTTTAATGAAAAACTTAATAATAAAAAAATAAAGAATGTACTTTTAAAGCTTAAAATACCTTTTATTTTATTTTTTTAATGACACATAAGCCAATTCCATGTTGAGTTGGTGGATTCCATGGTCTCTACAATGGAATTGGATTCCATCAATTTTGATGGAATCAGATTCCTTCAAGAAAGCAATTCTGGTATACCAAACAAGCTAACCGAAGAATTTCATGTCCAATTCCATTTCCCTTTTCACAATTATGATATACCAAACATGGCCTTAAGGTTTACATGTGTGTAATGGGTGTACTACATGTGCATTAATGTCTAATTTGAAGTCTTTTAGTAGTAATTACTTAATTTTGCTTTGCTTTACTGTTAAACTTAACTGAAACTTTTATTGATTGTTTATGTAAACTTCGACTTTACTACCAAGTTTTAAACAAAGAAGCCATTTATTTTCTTTACTTATTCTAGCATGCATTACATCTTTACTTAATTCTGTCTAGTTCACATGTTTATGTTTGTTCTCAATTCTCACCATTCTTCAAGGACATTATGTTAGATAATATAGCAAGAAGCAAGCTAATTTATTGATTGTAGGATGCTTTTAAACATGGGATATTGCATAAGTGGTCATTTGTTTTGCATGGAATAATTGTATAATCTTTGTTTCATAACTTCATTAATGTCATGAATTGCTTAGATTTACTTTCTTTTGGTAGACACAGCTATAAAGCACTCTACTATTATTTTTATGCACAGAAATTTTATATGATTGGAAGAGATAAGGACAGAACCTTTTGGAGAGTCTTAAAGATTGATAGATTGGAGCCATCTAAACTAATTATTTGAGAATATTCTACACTGTTCCTAGAAATAGACTGTTGTGACCTTCTAAGGCGAATACATGAAGGAAACAAGTCAACTGGAGGTCTTAAGTTTTTTATTAACTGTTATGGAATTATTGTTATGTTGATATGTTCCAGTATTTATCAAGTTTCTTGAGCCATACTTCTTACTGATCATAATAAAAACGGAGGAAGATTGGCACAATTTGTGGGCATATAATTTATGCTATCACAAATAGCCAAATGATTCTGATTCCTCATGCTTTTATGCAATCCAAGATGGCTTATTCTAATGATGAGAACAAGTCTTTAATTCATTCTGCAAGTAAATGTAATATGACTATGTTGCTGAAAAGAGACACTAAAGAGCAACATTTAAAATTACTCAATTACACCCTGTCCAATGTACTTAGATGAGATAGATGTTATAAATATAGTTATTTATTTAAATTCATATTAATATTTAGTGAAAACATTCTGTCAAAGCATTATATTCACCTAACTTGAACTTCTACAATATAAGGGTTTTATATGTACAGTGTACTATATAGAGGATAATTTCCCTTCAATGTACATACACAATGCAGGGTTGCTTAGAACCTCTTCATGTTTCTATGGTATAATCCATTGGTCTCCTTTAAAGTAGAATGAGTTATGCTTCTTCAATATGTTAGTTTCATGCCCTACATTCTATTGTCGGTTCATTTCCTCTAAATGTACAGGGGCAACCTTTATTGCTAGTGTGATGCAAATCTAACATTTTTAGTAAGGCAAGGAATCACCAAGGTTTCAGTTTTCATCTAGGTTTTTTGTTCTTAAGAAAAGCAATAAAATTTACAACACAAAACAAATAAGGATAATGAAAAAAGCTTCACATCAGAGACCCATTATAAGTTCAACAACTAAATTCACACATGCACCAAATCAATGACAGAGAAACAAAATTGAAGATCCTTACCTCTAAACAATAATTACAGAAGCTAGAAGAAACAAATGATGCTACTTGAATGAGGAAGATGAGGAAGATGAGCAATGACTGGTGATATACAATGTAGGGGAAAATGTAGGAAATAACCGATGGTAATGGACAATAGGGGAGGAATAACGAACAAGAATGAATGGAGAGGAAGATCTCGACCACCACAATCCTCCTCTGACAACAGCAACAGTTGAGCTCCACAAGTCACCCTCCACAACAGCAACTTAATGCAAGGAAACGAGAGGAAAAAAAACAGAGTTGTGATTCGTCCGTTGCTTTAAGGGTTCGTGGAAGTTATGTATTCAAATTAAATAAAGGGCAAAATATTATTTTTGCTCTGAAAAATATTGCAATTGGGGCCTTAAGACTTGTAGATCAATTTCAGAATGATTTAGGCTCTAAGTGTAATAAACTCTATTTTTAAAACCCTTAGTGCCATTCCCCCTTTTATAGTTAACCACTTGTATAACTCATATATATATATATATATATATATATATATGGTCTTTGAATATATTTTGCTCAATGTGAGTTTCATTTGGAAGTATTAATTGTGTTCTAATAATTGGCCAAAAAAAAATTGTGTTCTAATAAGATGATGAGAACTTTTTTTGCTTGAGCATGTTTAATCATGTTCAAGACATAGTAAGGCACTAATTACAACTATATCTCCTAGAAAGAATTCAAATCTCAATTTGTTACGTTGTAAGAGATTAACAGTCTCTTCCATTAAACCCAACTTTCATTAGTTAAAATGATTAGAATTTATTATATCTTTCACAACTTTTTCAAGTAATGTTTGCATCATATTTGCCTTACCAAAATCATTCTTTTTCTTAATCTTAAACAAACAACCATCTTCTTGTCAAATTGATTGTTCAACATTGAATTGTGTCTAGAACAAATTGACCCTAAATCAAGAACATAGCCCAATGAATCATTCTTAGGCTTTATGAACAGTGAATTGTGTTAAAAACATAAAATCATTTTTCCGACAGGCAACTTTGGTAGAACTCTTTTATAAAATATGTTGATTAACCAAAACTTGAGAAAGAATTGGAAAATTATACCCATAAAAATATGGGAGAATTACTCTAAAATCCTTCTCAATACAATTAATTACTTCCAAATTCATTGACAATTGATCTTAAGAGATTATGTTGTCATTCTCTAAAACTCAGTTATCTATAAACCTGGGAATAATTTATTGTGTTGATGTGTAATTCTTTATAAAAATCTCAAGAAAGATTTTCTCTCATCACATGCAAAAGATCCTTCATAAAATGTTACCACCTACCGGGAGATGCCCCGTTCAATCTATGTTTGAAAAAATGAGACAGGTTACATAGGGACTTGATCTGAATCATCATGGTCCAGCTCTATACTAAAATTACTGCTCGACCAATATTTGGATTTAACGTCTTCCTTCTCGATTATTCACTACTGATAATTTTCCTCTGCAGACCAATTCAATCAGTATCAAAATCAACACAAGATTCATTCTTATAAACACTTTAAAATTTTTGGTCTGGTATAAACGCTCTCGCATTACATGGTGTTCCAAATAGTTCTTGTACCCTCCGAAGTTGCCACCGCAATTTGGAGCTTGAATTATGGATTGCCAATCTCCAGAGAAAACCCCAATGCATGAAAAGCTTATTTAGTCCCCAACCAATAGCTATCACAGCCTCTTGCATGGCCTCTATTTTCATTCCTGTTCTAGTTACAGCTTCTCTTTATGTACCAAAACTCAACCCTTTTCACATCCTTGATCGTATAAGCAATCAGAGGTGCCAAGCACCGTGTTCAAGCTGAAATATTCTCCTCGAGAGTTCACCTTACGTTCAGCCCACGAGTTTTTTAGTTGTTTTCGTCAACATACTGCTCATACAAAGAATGATATTTTGCAGGAATGTAATCTTTGAACCTGTTGAAAACAAGAATGCAGAAATGCAAGTGAAGGTGATGTCAGAACAACAGCAATTTCAATTTTCTTCTCACACAAAGCATCAGGTAATGAGGCCCCCTATCCTTGTACAAGAACAAGGCTTCATAAGCAGAACTTAAGACATCGCTCAATACCTTTTAAGCAGCGGTAGCCTCTCAGGTCCAGAGAACAGCCTACATATGGATTGCAAAACTTCACTCATCCTCATGGCTTTGGTCTTAAGAGCCTTCATATAGCTCACAAAGTCTTTATACTCTGCACCACTGAGCTTCTCTTTAACCTGTAAGGCATCATCGTTATAACAAAGATTTGTTATTGTAGAGTTCCCGCCTATAATATTAAATACAATGCCCCCAAAACCCACACCTACTGAACTGGAAGGAGCAATTTACGAAGCCTTGAGTTATGGTCAAACCTAAATTTTAATTTTAAATAAATTATACAGTATATTATAAATTATACTTAAAATATCAAATGTAATATGTATTGATTTATTTCAAGTACAAAAATGTTCCTTTAATATTATGGTTGTCTAGTCATTCTCCCAATTTTACTTGCCTCTGCTTATTTTATCACATAAGTGCCGTCCATGAAACTTCTCCACGTGGATCTGTAAAGCAGTCCTGATCCTATAAGGAATAACACTTTCTGCTAACTCTAAAACCTTAATCAAAAGTATCATTTAAATAAGAGAATAAAAACTCTAACATAACGTCGAAGTCCAAATACTTAACCTAGGACCGAAATTGTCTAAAAGAACAACATATAGAATACCGAAATACTATTATGATTTATTTCACTTGTCAGGACTCTGCCACTAATAACATCTCAATAAATCAAAAAATTTAAATATGTTATCAAATAATTAAATGAGACCAAATGCCAATACACACTCCAAAAATTTCTTTGACAACGAATCCCAGGTCTAATTTATCCTCTTGCATCAGGCCTGATAGCAACAATTCATCATGAATTTACTTCAGGTACCAAATACTATATTCCGCACCACCAATGCATGTAGGCAACCAGTGTTCCCAGCATTGAAGGTCATTACCTGAACAAGGAATGCTGATCCCCGGGTTTCCTCATCTGCAGGAGGTCCAGAATCTGGAGGACGATTGTCTTCTTGTGTAAGGAGCTCAACGTTCCTGCTCCTTTGGGCGACCCCATTATCTTTATGTACAAGTTCCCCACCACTTTGAGCATTTTGGCGTACTATGTACAAAAACAAGTGCCCACAGTTACCTTCATTAATAAGTGAAACGAGATCAATCTGATTTATATAACACATATACACACATATTATTACCAAGTGTATGCTCATCGGAACATTCACCACGTTGCATCAAGTCATACTCTCCACTTATAAATCTACGCTTCTTGGCAGAAGGTGCTGTCTGTATATCCTTTACTCTGCTGGCATGTTGAGCACCACCAGTCAAATCAATTACTTCATCAACTCCCGACGGAATCTCCCTCCCATGTGGAACATCATTACATATGTCCCTCGAATTCTTATAGCTTATAATCTTGCAATCGTTAAAAGCCAGAGAAGCACGATTAGCAGGCATGATTTCCCCAAGATTCGGAACACAGCCTTCTTTAGCACCAACTGAAGGCAATATTTTCGAAGAGGATTTTTGAGTCAATGACATAGTCTGCATACACAATCATTAAGAAGCTGAAGAGAAACATAATAATGGCAATCAGTAATTTCAAATAAAGATGAGTGTATTCACAATGCACAATCAAGAATTTACAGGAGGAGAGACAAGTTTTTCCAGGCAAAATTTGTCCGGGCATTGCTCTGATGACTTCTCTGTGAAATTCCCTGTATAAGGATGGATTGTCTATTTCAATCAAAGTTCAAAATAAAGAAAGCAAAGAAAGACGGCTCTTTTGCTAGAGATTTAGATTTCATTAATCATGGAGACTGCAGAAATGGAATCAGAAGTCTGCTTTTAGATAAATGACAGTAAGTGACTTGCAACTCAAAAGTCAACACCGTATTTTCTATCACTAATTATCTATGAAATTATTACTTTCTATCACTAACTATCGGTGAAATTAAACTATATTCCATCGAATAGGTTGCCAAACTAATTCACCATTAGAACCAGTGGCAGCATCAATATTTCATTTTCATGATTAACTTTTTTCAGAGTCAGGCTAAACCTTTGTCTACCTTACATTTGGCATCGTCCAACAAACAGCACAATCTACATGACACACTATCCCTTGGGTTCACATTGGATGCTCATCATAGTGACGAGCACTATGTGCTCATTAGATCTGGACTACTAAATTATTTGGACAGTTTGAATTGAAGTTTTTAATTTGTAATTTTCAAATGATAATTTTTTATTTTTTATTTTTGAAAATATGACAGCTCAGAAATTATCTTTGTTTAAGATCATGCACCTATTAAAATTTAAAAAAAAAATAGAAACATAACAATCAAATCTAGACCATCCAAATTCAATCTGTATGGTCCAAATTTGAGATGATCACCTCTTGATGAGCATGGAATGTGCACCCACCAATTCTTTTCTACCTGTAACTGGAGGTTTATTGAATAACGGCTGTAAAAATAGCAGTCCATATATCCATTTTATATATGCCAGATAAGCTTGGCCCATTAACTTGGGCCCATTCTAGGAAACCCTGGTCTCTATTTCTATGTAGCGAATAAATCCCTGATCATATGGTATTATTAGTATTCTTTCATTGTCTTTTATTTTTTGATTATCTCTCTGATTGTGATCGAGGATTTGGTGGCATGATTCTCTTTCACCATTGTCCTTATATTGCCTGTCTTCTTCTTCGCTCAATAATGTAGAAAAACAGAGTATTGCTCTGATTCCTAAAATATTCAGAATTGCTAATGGTATCAGAGCCTTATGATCAGATGGCTCAAAAATCTGTCAACTTTGGCACCTTCGGTGCCTTCCATGGGGTGTGGATGATCCCCAGAATTTGTCGCTTGGTGAAAGTTCTTCAGGAGGCCAAAAGGCCGATTCTGCATCTGGACAGAATCTAGTCAATGACGCTATAATTACTTGCAGTGGTCCCAAAGTATTCTCTTCTATGTTCAAAAGAAAGGGAAAAAGAAGTATCTAACAGGAAAAGTTGTGAAACCAGAAACAACTTATCCAAAATTTGCTACTTGATATGCTGAAAACTCTATGGTTATGTCATGGCTTATCAACTCCATGAGTCTGGAAATTAGCGAGGAATATCTTCTTGCTAAATCAGCCAAGGAAATCTGGGATACAGCCAAAGACACATTCATCTATAGAAAATACAGCAGCCTTGTTTCAACTAAAGGGGATGATTAAAGATCTCAAGTAGGGTGATCTGAAGGTTGTGCAGTACTACTCAACACTGCAAAAGATTTGGCAACAAATTGATTTGTATGACAATCAAGAACAGTCATGTGCTACAGATCAAGCCTTATATAAGAAACTCCAAGACAGAGAAAGAATGTATGAATTTCTAGTCAGGGTTAATTCAAAGTTTGAAGGCAGGAGTAGAATTATGGGTACCAGACCAACACTTAGAGAAGCCTTCAACACTGTCAAATTTGAAGAAAGCAGAAAATTCCTAGCCCAGGGAGTCGCAATGAATCTTGAACCATCAGCCCTTGCTGCAAGAGGGGCTCCGGCTGATAGTAGAGGATGAAAACTAAACAAAGGATGGTGTGACTATTGTAACAGGAGTGGACATACCCAAGAAACATGCTGGAAGATTCACGGGAAACCCACCAACTACAACAAAAACAAGCCCAGGTCTGATCATAGAGGCTCTACAGCCACAAATGAGGAGCAACATGAATCTGAACTTTGCAACTTAAGTGCAGCAGAAGTTGAAAGCTTGAGGAATCTCCTTGCAAAACACAGCCTGAACGCAATGCACATATGGGTAATTTTGCCCAAACAGATAAATATGTTCAAGCTCTTAAGGCTAGAGGTACCAATACAGACTCATGGATTATGGATTCAAGTGCTACTGATCATATGATTGATAATTTAACCTTATTCAATGAAATACAACCTTGTAGTGGGCTTAATATAAAGGCGGCAGATGGTACATGCACCATAGTTGTGGGTATTGGTACTGTTCATGTTACAAATGAGATTGTTTTGGTTGATGTTTCATATGCACCAGACTTGAAATGCAATTTGTTATCTGTAATTAAGATAACAAAGGCCCTAAAATGTTGTGTTAACATGGTTGCTACTGGAATTTTTCAAGAATTGGATTCAAGGAGGACGATTGGCAATGCCAAGGAACTCGAGGATCTATATTATCTGGAAAGCAACAAGTCTGTGACAAAGAAGGTGTTCTTAGCAATTACCTCTAATAAAGATTTGATGTTAATGCATTATACATTAGGACATCCTAGTCTTGATTACATGTTGAAGATGTTTCCCAATGTTATGAATAAAAAGAATATTTCTTTTCACTGTGACATGTGCCAATTAGCCAAACACACAAGAAATTCTTACATATTCCAACCATACAGGCCATCCCAACCTTTCTCATTAATCCATAGAGATATATGGGGGCCATCAAACACTCCAAACCTATTGAAAGCCCATTCCTTTTTAACCTTCATTGATGATCACACACACTTGACATGGGTATTTTTTTCTGAAAAATAAATCTGATATGTTTGAGATTTTCAAAAATTATCATCAAATGATAAAAAATCAATTCCAAACATCCATCAAGATTCTTAGAAGTGATAATGGGAAAGAGAACCTCAGTTCTCAGTTTGCTCAATATTTGAACACAAATGGGATAATTTATCAAACTAGTTGTGTCAATACTCCTCAACAAAACGGAATAGTAGAAAGGAAAAATAGACAACTTCTTGAAATAGCTAGGGCACTTTTGACAACACATAATGTGCCAAAAATGTTTTAGCGGGAGGCTGTTATGATTGCTGCATATCTTTCAAATCGTTTACCCTCAAAAACCTTAGATTTTCAGAAGTCCATACAAATGTTGTCCAAATTCTATCCTAATCATCAACTTGTTTCGTCCATTTCACAAAAAGTGTTTGGTTGTGTAGCTTTTGTGCACAACCATCATGAAAGTAAGCTTGATCCTCAATCCTTCAAATGTATTTTTGTAGGATACTCTCCAATTCAGAAGAGGTATAAGTGCTATTCTCCTATTCTTAAAAAAATGTTTCTCTATGGATGTTACTTTTAATGAAAATCTCTCTTTTTATCCCAAAAATTCAATTCAGGGGGAGTATTATGGGGGATTGAATTTTTTAGATGATGATACAGATAAGAATATAAATAAAAATGCTATACTCATGTCTCCTATTTACCCTTCTTCACCTAATTCTTCTGGCCAACCTGAACCTGATTCTTCACCTAATTCTGACCAACATGAACCTGATTATGTTTCAGCCCCCATGCAAGAGCTTGCAACGGAACCTGAACCCGTTTTTACATCCTTAAACAATAATCACAGTGAAAATTCTAAAGTAGCCAGGGAAACTAATCAACAAATCGGAGAAGAGCTGAGAAATGAAAGTCAACAACAGCAAATGGAAGGTGGAAGGACCCTTGAAGTTCCAAGGCAGAACCAACAATCTGAACCACGCCCCATTCCTGATGACTTGAGTTGGCCTATTACTATTCGTAAAGGGATATGTCCATGTACAAAGCATCCCATAAGTAATTTTGTTTCTTGTAGCCATCTTTCAACTGATTATAAAAGCTTTTTGGCAAGTATTTCTGATGAGAAAATTCCAGCATCATATGAAGTCGTGATGGACCCCAAATGGAGAGAAGCAATAAACGAGCTTAGAGCACTTGAGAAAAATCAGACCTAGAAATTGACTAGACTACCTCACGGAAAGTCAACAGTTGGGTGCAGATGGATTTTTACTAAGAAATACAACCCTGATGGAAGCATAAACAAATACAAAGCAAGATTGGCGGCTAGAGACTTTACTTAGACTTATGGGATTGACTATGAGGAGACATTTGCTCCTATTGCTGTAAATCTGGAATGGCCATTATATCAATTAGATGTGAAAAATGCCTTCCTAAATGGGGACTTGGAGGAAGAAGTATATATTGATGTTCCTCAAGGATTGAAGGAGTATGGGTCAAATTATGTGTAGACTCTACAAGTCTCTATGAGCTTAAGCAATCCCCTAGAGCTTGGTTCAACAAATTTACTCATTTTTTAATAAAACTAGGATTTGTACAAGGCCAAGCTGACCATATACTATTTTCAAGCATTTTGCAAACAGAATGACAATGCTAATTGTGTATGTAGATGACATAGTCTTGACAGGGGATATCCTTGAGCACATTCAAAAGATCAAGGGATCACTTGCACAAGAATTTGAAGTGAAAGACATGGCAAAAATGAGATATTTCCTTGGATTGGAAGTGGCAAGATCAAAAAAGGGTATTCTTGTGTCTCAAAGAAAATACACCTTAGATCTACTAAAAGAAACAGGAAGGCTTAGTGCAGAGCCAGCTGCCACTCTAATGGAAGAAGGGTTAAAGCTTGAGATAAAGGAAGATGGCGTTCCAATGAACAAAGAAAGATATCAAAGGTTGGTGGGCAAGTTGATATACCTTGCCCATGCAAGACCAAATATAAGTTACCTAGTCAGTGTGGTAAGTCAATTTACTAGCAATCCTCAAGAAGAACACATGGAAGCAGTCTACGGATTCTGAACCAGTTAAAAATGAATCCAGGAAGGGGAATGTTCTTCAAAAAGGACAGATCAAGAGGAATTGAGATTTATACGGATGTTGATCATGGAAAAGACTTAAAAAATAGAAGGTCTACCAGAGGATATTTTACTTTCTTATGGGGTAACTTAGTCACTTGGAGAAGCAAAAAACACTCATTTGTTTCTAGAAATAGTGCAGAAGCCAAAGCTAGAGCATTAGCTCATGGAGTTTGTGAAGGAATCTGGCTAATGAGGGTGCTCAAGGAATTGAAAGTAGAATATCAGCTTCCAACTAAATTATGGTATGATAGCAAGTCAGCAATGCAAATGGTCAATAACCCAGTGCATCATGATAGAACAAAGCATGTGGAGATAGACTGACATTTCATAAGAGAGAAGATTGAAGAAGGAATTATTAATATAAGCTACATCAATACAACAGCTCAAGTTGCAAATGTGCTCACCAAGTCTCTTGGAAGAACCAAATTTGATGAATTGACAAGCAAGCTGGGAATGCTTGACATATATTTGCCAGCTTGAGGGGTAGTGTCAGATAAGCTTGGCCTATTAACTTGGGCCCATTCTAGGAAACCCTAGTCTCTATGTCTATGTAGCGAATAAATCCCTGATTATATGGGATCATTAATTCTCTTTTATTGTCTTTTATTTTCTAATTATCTCCCTAATTGTGATCGAGGATTTGGTGGCATGATTCTCTCTCACCATTGTCCTTATATTGCCTATCTTCTTCTTCGCTCAATAATATAGAAAAAAGGAGTATTGCTTTGATTCCTAAAGTATTCAGAATTGGTCAATATATAAGGAAAATTCATATTTCAACGTGAAAAATATTTGAAGATTTGACAATAAATGGGAGATTTGAAGATAATTTAAGATTTGGAAAATAGTTTTGTTATATTTCTTTTATTTCAGTAATCTTTCTCATAAATATAACTTGTTTAGATTTTTAAATTATTCTAGAAGATTGGCATTGAATTCTAGGATTAGTGTCAAGGCTCTATAAATAGGCCTTAACACATCTCATTTTACATGCCTTTGATAGGTGTTTTGGTGGTGTAATGAACCTTTTCCCATTGTGTGCGTTCATGAAGGTTTGCTACCAGTGTGGCTAGTGTGTGTTTCACATGGCAGCAAGCAGGACCCTATCAAAAATTGGCTTAACAACAGTGGCGTTATGTCATTTTATCTGGATGAGGTTTGGGATTCTCAAGCATATAGGAGTCCAAGATATTTTGGACGGATGTGGGGCATGCTTTCGTGACATCTCCGCAAAGGGTGTCCTATGGGCCTGAGTGGAGTGTCATAGTGGTCTTCTGGATTGAAGGAATTCTGCCACAATTATGGGTCTTCGAATATTCATTGATATTGTCAAATTGATTTTACAAGTCTTAGCAATTGCAGCCTAGTGTTAAGTGGGGGAAGTTCTTGTCCATTTTAGTATTGATATACCAGGATTAGAGGGGTAATTAGGGAAACAGGAGGGAGAGGGTAATTTAGGAATTTCGTGTAATAACTTTATAAATAGGGGCAGCACAGATATATTGAGGTGTCTTGTGAAATCAAATATCAGTATATCCTTTACTTTTTTATTCTATTTCTACGTGTATCACTCTCCCCCTCCCACTTCCCCTTCTAGTTCTACATCACATACACTTCTTGATTACAGCTTACTTGAAAAAAGAAAAGACCAACTTTTTCCATAATGCAATGACCGAAAATTGTGGGACGGAGAGACTATGGAAAAGATAAAGAACACAATGCCAGACCATACTGACCACTATTTTCAGCTTCTAACAATGACAGCTTTGTAGGGCCGCGACTTCCTCCATCACGGAAAAATCTAGTTAAAGTAAAAACTATTTCTCCAAATTTTGAGAAACACTGCAAGAATATAAGTGAGTATGAGAACTTTGTATCCAAAATATAACTCCATTAGAAAAAGTATTGCACCTTGATGTGCGGCTGTATCCAACGTGAGACCTGAGATTGACGATGTGGATGCGCAAACCTATAAGTAAAGACCAATCAGTACAACATAGAAAAGCATAAGTGAAGCTAAAAACCAGAATGGTTAAACCATAAAAAGGTTATAGATTTTAGAAAGAAAATAAACAAGACTACAGTATTCCAAGAATACAAAATTCCCTCGCACTCAGTTTGTTAGACCTACAATCAACCATGAATTTATAACAATTTAATAAGAACAGATTAAATCAATTAAATAGGATGTTAATTATGTCAAAGATTTATCGGTGATTATGATTGATTATTATAAATAATTAGAATTGATTATAATATTGTAAATGATTAGGAGACTATAGAGGTTATCATGTAATTATTAGTCATTCAAATATTGTCTTGTATCCTTAATATAAAAAGGGGCTCATTCTGATCAGTACTCACTAACTACAATTCTCATTCTATTCTTGCTTTCCTTCTGTTCATTATTCTTTCTCTCCTTTTTTTTTCATGGTATTAGAACCTCCAGTGATTGTGCATCACTGCAATCACTAATCCCTCCCTTTTCCCTATTTACCTTGCCCTAAAACGCTTCTAGTGGTTGTGCCTCATTCGAAACTACTGTGCATCACTTATCTTGGAGACCAGCCCCGCCATTATCCTCAAACACCGTCAACAAGTTGTTTGCTGTCAACTGAAGTTCAGATGACCCTCACACTATGCATTCTGCATGCACCAAAATCCTAATTTCTGTGTCTATATGGTTCTACATGGATAACATCGTCATCACTAGCAATGGTTAAGAAGAAATGTCTCAATTGAAACTGCACCTACTCGACCATTTTCAGACCAATGATTTAGGCGAGCTATACTACTTGTCCATTCTCAAAGAGAGACTACGGTGATCTCAAAGAAAGTATGAGGCAGATATTTTGGAAGAAATCAGTATGTTAGAATGTCAACCCGTTGACACTCAAGAAAAAGTAGAAAATGGAATTAGATTCTTTTTGTTCAAATAAAACACCTCAAGAGATCAAACATAATAATCATGGTGGTGATGAAGTAATTTAGTGCCTAGATATGAGTTCTAGAGAAATTTAAATTAGAAAAATGGCAAAAACCTTTCATCACAAAGGATAATTGCTCCATAGTCATGGCGGTGACGAATTACACGTCCAACGGCCTGATTCACTGCACGTGAAGCTTGCTGATTATACCACTCTTCTCCAGTTAAAACCTGATCAACATATGAGCATATGTGATACAAACTACAAGGGGAGAAAGATTATGATATATATCAATTGATACGAGCATTACCTTACACAAGTCTCCTTGGGTTTGAGATTGTTGATCCAAATATTCTCTCTTTAAACGAATCTGCATGTTATTTAATTCAAGTACACTTTTGCAATTATTGAATTTGACAAGTTAGCCAAAAAAAAAAGAGTATTGATTTCTATAAATTAGAAATGACTGTCATATGCATTTCCAAGTTTGAAATTTTGAAAATAAAAGCTGAGGCTCAGAACTTTATTTTCAGCAGGTCTGGAAGCATAATGTCATGAGTAAAGCACTGATCTTAAAACTACCCTCAACTGACACAGTTGACGAGAAGAACCTGGAACTAATCCAGGTTCTGGTTCAGCTCAACCCCCAGTAGCCAGAGTAGAAAGAACTGGTTGAACAGCCAAACTGGACCAATTGAGATGGTCTGCTAGCAGATATTGTGGCCTCATAAATTGCAATGTTAGCTACTATTTCAACTAATGAAGAACAAGTATTTACTCCAACTGAAAAGAGTAAGTGTAGTTTGAACCTCCAACCTTTGGCCTCAATGGCTTACAATGATGAAAAAGAAATCCCTCTCCACCATCTTTGTACGATGTCCATTATAGCTGAAGAAATGGAAGAGCCAGAGCACAAGCTCGTAAAAAGGTTAGCAAGGGATCCCAAAAAAAAGGCCAAACTAACCCAAGATTCAATTCCCCTAGAAAAAATTGAGACCTGAGTCCTCAAAGGTTCACCAGTACAAACTTCGGCCACGAAGAAAAATGGAAGTTGTGACCTGAGGCCACTAAGACTCAAATAATAATTCGACTCCAAAAAAGGTAAGTCAAGTTAAATTTGAGGGACAATGTTACAATAAACCAGAAAGATATACAAACCACTTCTAAAAATGATACAAAAAATGAATGGCATATAAGCTTGTGGCAATCATAACAAAATAACTTAAGCTATATTGTTAGAGCCCAAGCTTAAGGCCATACAAAAAGTTAGCAAATTCAAAAACAGAAACTTTTAGGACAACAAGTCTCAACAATAATAAAGGCAAGGTTAAAAAAAAAACAAACCTTAGGATCCTTACTTGTGGCAAATGGCATACCAATTATCATCACAGCTCTTCCAGCATGGTCTGCAAAATCTAATCCTTCACTTACCTGTATAATCAACAGCTATTAACTTCTATCTGCTAGCATAAATGAACATTAAAAGTACCCAACCAAGACGTGCTAATCAAATAGCTTGATAGTATATACAAGTAGTACATATTGGGCATTTCTTTCCTTTTCTTTTACCAGAATTAAAAGAACTGAAGTTTTCACCATTAATCTCCAGATCCCTTATAGCATCTATGATGTTCATGATATATGGCAGCACAACAACTTAGAACTATATATATGAGATGCAAGATTGTGAGGACTTATACATCACAAGATGCATGCCTTGCTCAGAATGGAATTCTGCAATAGGTGTCTTGTAAATACTAAGGAGGATAATTTGCAATTTGATCTATGATAAATGATTCATGTCATAAAGATTGATATAACATAAAGGATACTTAAAGAAGCTATTGAAGGGGATCTATTGGTGAATCATGTGTCTAAAAAGTTGGTTATTGATAGAGTCCAATAGTATCATGCAATTATCACTAACTTCACTTAATGAGATGAGAATTGTTATTCTTATGTTGATGGACTATGATAAAGGAATCCATTCACAATATTCAAGTATTTTTCCAAAAATTAAGATGCATTGAGAATTAGATTTGTACAGAGAAGAAACTGGACTTTTAACCATTGTTGAAATGAGAAGGAAAGAAAGAAAGCAACTACTTAACATCCTCCTAATAATCCTAGATTGCACATGCAAAGAGATTAAAAATAATAAAAAATGAACAACGCATACAATATTTTTGTTTTTGTTTCTTCCCAACCATAAACTCGAGAATTTTATATATTCAGCACTTCCAGCCTATAGTACATGAAGTAGACATTTAGCCAGAAAAAAAAATGAATGGTTTGTTCTTGCATCTCTTGCAACTAAATCCTATTTTTCTGTACATCAATACAGGGTATTCAGAAAAACTCCAATGACGTATAGGTACCTAAATCAAGAGATTTCTACTAATTTCAAGGATTAATAAAATTCCACAAACCACCACCAGTTGGTCATCGTCTCAGGTAATCTACAAAGGGTTGCTTGCAATATTCAGTCGGTTCAAGCAATTAAGACTTAAGAGGCTTGGAAAGCTTCTTATATGTCAGCTCAAGCAATTTGGAGGTTTCAAATTCAGGACCTCCAAATTATATCTTCATGGACTTGCTATGAAGACTAAATCTGTCAGTTCAAAAGTCAAATTTAAAACCAAACACATTGCAATTTTTATCAATCTAAACATAATACAAGTCTAGCACACTAATATTTTTCCTCGATATTCAGCATCTAGAGATACCTTGCCACGACAAACAGCAAAAAATACAGCTCCAGATGCAGAGGTGTCTTTCAGCTTTGATATGTAGTCCTGGCCAAAAGGTCCTTTAGCTTCATCTTTAGAAAGATGTATTTAAATATTAATTGTGGAAGAATGGTTTTCACTTTTTTACACATAGTTGTTACCTCAATTGATAGGGAAAACAAGGAAGATTGCCTGGGTTCTATGACAGGTTTCTTATGTTTGCAAATTCTCTCCCATATAGATGTTGAATTTCCGTTATTCTGAAAAGAAAAACAGAATGCGACATGAGTTGAGAGCAAAAAGATTTTGAAACTTCATTAGTGCTTTTAGTCTTACCATGTTTTTCCAGCACTCAATGCATTGGTCCAAAAGGTAATAAGAAGGGAAGAATACAAGAAGTCCATCAGGAACGATTCGAGCCAAATTGACTAAAACACAAACACCATGATGAGAATATGAACAATCAGTACTAATCATCAGGCTTCTCATGCTCATACACAAGGTAATCAAAATCAAATTCTTATAAAGGACGGACAAGGGACTAAATAAATCTAAACACAATCAAATCCAAGATCATACCATGAATAAAAATTTTAGACAAGTATAAAACTATCAAAAATACTCATAAAACCATCAAACAACATAATCACAAAAAGACACCGTGTCAATAATATATTTTATACAATTTTGGGGGTGGAGTTTAAGCAATCCTTTGAGATCCCATGTTGTCTGATACCGATGGCACAGTAAATCTGGGCAGGATGACCACAAGATTGAAAAACAAAGTAGTCTCCATTCCATGAGAAGACATTTAGCACCCATGGCTAGCCTTCACTTTCTCTTCTGAAAATAAACTCACATCAGAACTGAAAACCATCCAGCTCTAGCAGGCACAAACAAGAAAGAACCAAGCCCGACAAGCAAGGAGAAACTTGATAGAGCTCATGATTTTACTAAGACTTACAAGAGGAAATCAAGGAAGGCAAGAGCTTAAAAGATAACATTATTGTTGGTTCATATGTTTGCCCTCCGGATCTTGGTCATGAGGGGGGAAAAGAAGGTAATTGATGGCCTAGTGATAAGCTAGATTCCCAGTGATGGTTAAGGGTCTTCTAGGGGTAAGGGCTGTGCTAGAGTCACTTTTTGGGTCTTTAAATCTTCCTCTTTGCCTAGAGAGAGGGTGTGGAGTATTTTGAAAATTGTGAGTGCTGAGGAGAGCTCTGGCCTCTCAAATGCCAGATTGGCATGGAGGAAGATATCTTTCTTCATCATTTGTTCATGTGCAACTTATGTTTTTGTTGCTGTATTGGGTTGTATTTTGTGTTGTTTCATGTACGATGTACTTTTAGTTCCTTATTTTGCTGGTAATACAGCTCCATTATTCTGTTTAGTCCCATTTTCTGTGTATTTTTCTGTATTTTTTGCTTGTCTTAAGTTTATTAGCACACAAGGTTCCATCAAAACCATTGGACAATGGTACCAAAAGAGAAAGAACCAGACGCTCAAATGACAAGAGGGGGACACAGGGCAAAGGAAATTTAGCCTCAGCCTCTTTTTTGAAATAGCATCTCCACATTTTGTGGCAAAAAGAAAAATCAAGGCATCCTGGATGGCCAAGATTATGCAATCTATCTCAAGATTCTACAATCTTCATCACAATCCTGAAGCCAAGAAATTTGTACAAAATCTGACAAGCTGCTGGGCTGCAAGATTGTGAGGTTGAATGACCTTACAATCATGTTCATGATCCTGATTACCATACCTATATCCACATCTCAGCTTATAATGCATCTTCAAAAAAATTCCCACAGGTAAATATATTCAACCTTGAGAATACATTCAATTCATCTCTGTAAGTTTGAGTGTTCAGTATAGATTCTCTTTTGCCTCCTTTTGCCATGTAGACAGTATCTATCACAGATATGTAACCACTTGTAAATTCTACCTGACCTTTTTCTTGGTCAACAGCTAGTGATGGCATAATCAACTCACTCATGACTCTCTTTAGCACTTAGAGTCAGATGCATAAATTGGTATCCAAAACTAATATGTCCATATACAACACAAAATACCAGGAAATAATTTAGTAACAAATGCAAACTATCAATATTAGGTATAGACATGCACAAATGAAAAATTTTGATGGCATGAAGAGTCATTACAAAGCACCTCAAAATCTGAAATACTTCTAGAATACAAAAGCAGGACTAAGCCATGAGAAGAATGCGATGTTTCTGTCACTAATAGTGACTCCAATGAAGTGTTACTCTCATTATTATAACAAGATAGGTTCTTCCAACATGGTGAGACAATTAACACATAAAGCTTAAATTTAACAAGCTCAACATAAGAAATAAAAATGCGACATACCAATTGCATTACCAAGCTCCTGCTTGTACTCTATAGAATCACGTGTGCGGTAGGAAGAGTTAAAAGTACGCCCTGAAGGGCCAACTGGTACAACTCCAGCCCATATCTGATTTGGGGTTATTACATGCTGATTTTCTAGCCGAATGGGAAAATCTCTGAAATGACAAGAATCCACTATGTTAAGTACTATGACAATAATGATATTATCAGATAAAATACAATTAACAAAAATGATTCTAACATTTTCAACTCCTGAGCAAAAGATTCCATGGGAGATAATGTGCCAGAAGTTAATATAACAGAGCCAACGCCCAACTTAGGAAAAACTTCCATAGCTATTCCTGGATTAAAGCACCACCAACTAAGGACCCTTGAAGCCTTACCTAAAACATCAAAATTTTAAATCATAACAAAATAAAGTTGAAGGAATGTTTACACTTGCGGCACCACATAGTTCTATGAGAAACAACTTTCAATATCCATAGAATGGAAAGAGCATCTTCAAAAACAAGGTTATAGTTCAAAGAGTTTAAACTCTAAAGTATCAAGAGGGACATCTAACCTTGATTATATCTATCATATTGTATTTTAAACCATAGTTCAGAAAGTATAAACAAAAAAGTAATGTAGTGAGAATAAAAAGACCAAATCAAACTTTCTAGTCTTCCTATACTATTATAGAAAAGGGATTCCCCTTTGGTATTTGTTTCATTTTTGTTGGAATCCAATAAGTCTTAAGAAGAACTATATGGGACATTTGCTACTTAATGGACTATGATTCATGGACATTCAGTGGCCAGAATCTCGATGGTTTGTTGTAGGTTAATAGGCTAAAGTCAAATGATTTTGTATCATTATTCACTTCCTATTTCATGTTTCTTTAAAACTAAATGGCTTGGTGAACAAGCTAAGGATATTCAAGGCTTCAAACCTTGGTATACAGGGAAAGTAAGTATCCACAATGAGGTAGGTATCATTGTCGATAAAGGGTGGAAGAAGAATGTCGTAAAAATTCACAGAATTGGAGGCAGAATTATTTCTTTAAAAATGATTGTTGAACGTGACATGTGAGATTGTCAATATTATTAGCACCTCAAGGCTCAAGCCGAGGCAAAGGCCAATCTTAAGGAATTATTTTGAGAAAACTTGAAAGGGTTGATTCAACACATACCACAAAGTGAAAAGATCTTCATTAGAGGAGACTTTAAGGTCATGTAGGGACGGAGGCAAGTCATTATGCGAGGGTGCATGGTGGCTTTGGTTTTGGGGTGCTAAACAATGAAAGACAATCTATTATTGATTTCTCTTTGGCGCATGATTTCAAACACTTATTTCAAAAAGAAGGATGCTCATCTCATCCCTGACAAAAGTAGAGCCTTAAGGTCACAGAATGATTTCCTTTTGGTAAAAAACACAGATAGAAGACTCTGTATAAGTTGTAAGGCAATTCCTGCAAATGCCATAATGACATAACACAGGATCATTATTCTTGATATGCGTATTATAAGTAAAAAATCAAAAGCATTGACAAGTGGTAACTTCAAGAATTAGGTGGTGGCAGTTAAAAGGTGAGAAGCGGGAAATTTTCAAGCAGAATCTTTTGGCCGAGGGAATTTGGGAGTCCCAAGGAAGTACTAGCAACTTGTGGGAGAATGTGGCTAAGAAGGTAAGAAAGGTTGCAAAAGAAGTTTCGAGAGAGTCAAAAGATTTTAATTCGAGAGATAAGAAATCTTGACAGTGAAATGATAGCGTATAGGAAAAAATCAAACATAAGAAGGAGTGTTTTAAAGCCATCCATTTGTGCAATAATGATAAAAATTGGGGAAGGTATCATATGGTTAAAAGAAAACCAAAAAGGCTATGAGTGAAGCTCATTCTAAAATTTATGAGATTGCCAAGAGTAAGAAAAGAAATCGAGAGACATTGAGGATTTAGTAACTCATGAAGAAGAACAAAATTTGTCATTCTATCAAAAGATACACAATAGTGAGATAAGAGAAACTTTTGAGAAAATGACAAATGATAGAGCCAATGGACCTAATTGTATCCCTATTAAAGTGTAAAAATATTTAAGTGAAGAAGAGGTACAATGGAAAACTAAGTTATTTAATAAGATCTTGTGGTCCAAGAAAATACCTGACAATTAGAGAAGAAATATCTTAGTTTTTATTTACAAAAATAAAGAGGATATTCAAAGTCATGCTAACTACAAAAGAGATTAAACTCATGAGTCAATATAATGAAATTGTGAGGAAAGAGTGATTAAGCATAAGTTAAAATTGGAGATTGATATTTTTGAGAATCATTTGGCTTCATGCCAAGTAGGGCAACTACAAAAACAATTTATTTACTAAGAGGATTAATGGAAAAGTATTGATACAAAGGTAAAAATTTACATATGATTTTTATTGATTTAGAAAAAGCTTACAACCATATACCGAGAAGTACTTTGAAAAGTTTTGGAAATGAAGTCCAGCTTACCTATATTAAAGCTAAACAAGATATATATGAGAGGGCAACAATTAGTATAAGAATGTCCAGCAGTAAAACAAAGGACTTTCCTATAAATTACACTGCATCAAGGATTATATTTGAGCCCTTATTTGTTTGGCCTCATCCTAGGTGTTTTTGACTGAACATATTTAAAAAGAAATCTCCAAATGCATACTTTTCGTGGATGATATAATTCTTATCGTGGGGATAAAAAAAAGATTGAATGTAAACTTAAGTTATGGAGAGACATTGGAATTAAAAAGTTTTCACCTGAATAGATGTAAGACGGAATAGATTGCATTATAATTAGATAAAAGGTCGGTCACTAGTAATTTGAAAGTGAAATTGGAATATCAAATTATACTTTAAGTAAAAAAATATAGATATTTAGGAGTTATTATTCAACATTGTGAAAAAATTAATGAGAATATTGCACACAGGACACAAGCTGGATGATTTAATTGGAGAAAGACTAAAAGAGTTATCTGCAATCGTAAAGTACCTAATGAGCTTAAAGAGAAGTTTTATCAAATTGTTATAAAATTAGCTATGTTGTAGTGAATGTTGGACTTTAACGAAACATACAAGTAAAGTTAGAATAGCAGAGATGAGAATAGCAAAGATGAATGCATAGACATACAGGTAAAGATAAAATCCAAATTGAGCATATACCAAAAAAAATGGGCATAAGATGGTTTGAACATGTACAAAGAAGACCGCAGTAGGCACCCATGAGAAGAGTAGAATGGATAATCTTGAGCTCTGTTAAGAGGGGTAAAAAAAGGCAAAAAAGAACACTTTTGGAAGCTGTTGATCGAGATATCTTAGTTGACAATATTTTTAAAAACTTAGTAAACAATATAATCCAATAGCATCGTATAATCTATATAGCCGACCCCACCTAGCAGGATAAGGCTTGTTGTTGTGTATTCACTTCCTATTTCATGAGTCTAATCTATATTTATCTTGTTTGTTTCCTTTTCAGGCAGAAGCTGGTTAGCTGAACTTCTGTGGCAGACACCCCTTCAGATAAAGCTACTACTGTCCCAAATGAAATAAGAAATTTCCAACTCAAAAATTTTCTGAAATTATTCAGTTTTCCTACAAACCTAATATCTTGTATTTATAAACAATATAAAAGGAGAAGGATGTGACTCCAGCATATCTGCGCAACTATAAAAGCAAATATTAAATGGTACAGTTTCTCATGTAAGTAGATACAGATGTCATATGTACGCAATTATATATCAATATTCAAAACCAGAGGTCACATGCTTTTTTCTCCGGCAAATTAAACAAGTTCACCAATTAATATCCCATCCATATCACAGGTGCTATGTTCTAGCATTGAATTTAAATATCATAGTTCCTACAATCTACCATTAGAAGTCCCAAATTACCTTTAACATTATCAGCAGCTTTTGCATCAACTTCTTTCACATGAACCTTTTATGTACCAAAAAACAGCTTTGAAATTAGAAATCATAGTGGAAAGAAGACAAATCTAGACAAACCAGATTAGCAATCACGTATGAAGCAATGAGACAAGCAAATCCACCCGAGGTGTAACTCTAACTTCATGTCATTCCAGACTCTCACCCGATAGTATTTTGCATGAGCAGTGCCTTCATCCCTGAAAACAATGTCAATGATGTCACTTATGTTGTCCAGCCTGAAATTGGTGCTACTTGCCTTTTGCTGACTATCTTCCTCAAGAAGGATCCCAGCTTCTTCAATTGTACGCTTAAGCTTAGAAGCTGTCTTATGAGTGATATTAAGGTCAGAGAAAAATTCATAGATATAAGGTCCAGGTTTGGTGTATCCCAATTCCTTGGATTCAATAGGCACATCAGCAATTCTCTTTTCGAGTTTTAGCAGAAGTGCTGCGAAAAAAGAAAAAAGTACTGTAAGCAGCGCAACAATATAATAAAATATTAACAAAGAACCCAGCAAAAACACTACAAGTAATCCTCAAAGCATTTAGACAAAAATTTAGAACATGGAAATGCCATATATATGTAGCATCCTGCCTCAGCACAAATACAACCAGTAAGCATAAGCAAGCATTAGATTATATAGCTAGCCCTCTATAACGGTACAAAAACAACAAAAAGTATGCATCTTGATATCATTACATACAAATAGGAACCTTCAAGAGCATACTCTAAGGATCAAGTTCACCTTTAAGGATAGCAAAATCATCTGGATTCCGTGACTTATCATTCAATTTGTCTCTTCTGTCTATACAAAGGTCAACACAACTTTGAGCCTCAGAAATGCAAGCTGTTAGAAGCCAAGAAGGCAAGTCAAAAGAGGCAGCATCAGCACATAAGCTTTCCTGCACAAAGATAGAAAGTTAGCAAGTAATCATGAGAAAATTCAAATCATATGACAAAAATATAAATAAAAATGCGGAACACGGCAATGAAGAGGACTGTAAGAATATGTGATAAATATTTACTTGCTTAAATTTTAAATTAGCCATTATCTTCAGAGTTAATTATTCAAATTAGTTATTCACACATTCAAAGACTTTTTTATCTATTCTCTCTTGAATTTTATGAGAACCAAACAATACAAGCAGCACAAACACTTCAGAGTTCTATTTATGGAGAAAACTGGACCACCCAGTCACAACTTTGAAACATATATTCTTACCAGGTTGTGAGCTTCATCAAATATGAGTATGCTATTATCCCAAGAAATATTCAAAACTTTTCTATATCCGCGATTAATAAGATAGTTGTATGGTGCAAACACTATATCAGCAGCCTTATGGAGTTCTTTTGATAAGTAGTAAGGACACCTGAGGTAAAGACAAGCCATGTGAAACAGATGAGAGTCCAAGCACTTGACAATTTAGTTGTTTGAAAGAAAAAGAAGCAAAGTGGCATTAAACAATCAAATTCAAATGTTATGATTTCACAGGAAAAAAATTAAGCACAGCAGCAGGAACCTACGGCCCAAATCTTTTTCCAATGTTCACCAAATCCTCAATATCTATAGGTTCTTCTCCAAGATGGGGGTTTCTCTTTGAGTATTCTAGAACAAAATCAAAATTACAATCTCAGGTTAGTCAAAATCTAAATGTCAATGTGCTAAAACATACTAAAATGCACAAACACAGACACGATATTACTTAAAATAAAAAGCATCCAAATGCATAAAAATTAGAAATTACCAAGGACAAGATCGTTATGATTGCATCGGTGCTTGCCATTCTTGCCACGCCTTCGGCAAAGTAAATGGCAAGCATTTGTTTGTGTCCTTCCCCGAAGTAGACTCACCTGATCATGAATGCACAATTGCTCCCGAGATCCTAGAACAACCATTTTAGGCCTGCATCGTATGAATATAGATGAGCTCATATCCAACACATTTTATATCACGATAAGAGAACATAAACTTGAAGCTCATCAACACATAAGAAGCCTTCTAAAAACCAAATATAGCACACAGTATAGCTCTCAAATGACAAATCCATGTTTCCGTCTCCAAACCACATTCAACAATTCAACAGAAAAAAATGAATTATTACACAAAGATATTATGATGTTGAATTTACATGTCAGCAAAACAGTTTATGCCATACAAGTTCTTAATTCCAGGAAAAGGTTTGGAGAATAGAACATACTTCCTTGATAACACTAAACACCCTACATGAACAATTACAGAACACCAAGGGTGACCACAAAACTCATTATGCCAATAAGAAATATTAGACTGGTCTTTGGTGAACTCATAAAACAGATTGTGCTGAGCATGTACTGGCCTGTGTGAGGATCATTACAGCAATCACCATCAACAAAAGTATATGTCCACAAAGAAATTTAACATCACTGTTAGACCATTGTGAACATAAAGACCTGTATGATGTTCTTTTCAACTCTTGAATTACTTGGCGGATCTGGCTGTGAGTGCGTGAAGAATATATAATAGTAGGAAGCTTTGAGGCCTCAGGTTGTGAAGGTGAAATGTCTACGTTGCCCCCAGAACTCTGAGTAGTCTTAACATTCGCACCAGTTGAGAAACTGCCCAAACTCTTCCGCCAAGCTAATGTAGCACATAAAAGACAAAGGGTTTTGCCAGTTCCTGTGGGACTCTCCAACAGTGCATTACATTTCTGCCAGAAAACAAAATCACACGTAATGAAGGTCCAGAATACAGTATCATGTTTTCTCTTGGCCTGAAATACTATTTTAGTGTAACTAATGTTTAATTGTGGCAAATAATAGTGAATGGAAAATGTGAAAAGAATAAATATTAGTGATACTTCATCCTGTAGAACGCAGGGAAGACGGAATGTGAATAGAATAATTAGGGAAGATACTGATTTTGAAAGAGTCATTGTTATCGTTAAAAGGGTGAACTTGTAGCCTTTGATTGAGCCCCTTAATTGATTGAATTCTCTAAAACAAACGCGCATTCGACTGCAAAGCTTACCTGCGATGCACCACATAATAAACACACAAACATCCACTGTATGAAAGAACCACGTCAATGCCAGGTGTTAGCATTGGACAATATTATCCAAATGGTCCAAAAACGGATATATTACCACCACTCCAGGCCCTTCTTGGCGTTCCCATTGTGCGACAAAGCACCAAAATTTATTTAATAGAAAGGGGAAAAGAAATCTCAGGTAATAACCATCATTGGGGAATGGCAACGTTCATCCAGAACCTACCTCCTGAAGTGATTGTATGACTTTCTCCATGTAAACAAGCTGGCAATCATAGGCCTCGAATGGGAAATCTACATTGATTCCCCGAATCTTGTACGTCGGCATCTCTCCGTTTCCTCTGTAATCCGGCAAATGGAAGAAAGATTTTTCCCCCCTTCAGTACATGATTTGCTCAATAAACCCTAAAATGGACTAATAGAGTAGCTTGACATAAAAAGCGGGTAATTTTTCCCGCCAAGGGGTGATCTTAAAACCACACCTTATTTGAGTAGAAACATTTTTCAAAGGAGAATGAGAAATGTCAAGGATCAATTAATTTAAATTAAATTTTAAAAATTTACATTTTATTTTTTATATTTTAATATAATTAAAAAACAAATAAATATTTTTTATTAAATTTTAAAATATAAGTTATAAAGTCATCACAATAAAATTATAAAATTAAAAGACAAACTTATAAATTCTTAAAATTTAATATTTGGGCCTTAATTTAAATTAATTAATCTCTTAAGACCTATCAGTCATTCTCCTTTCTTTAATTAAAATATCATGAACTTTCCTCTATTTTGCTTTTTTTTTTGGTTGCATGATAAGCATGTTTTGGTTACCTATATCTTCTTTCAATTACACATGTAACATCCTTGATTTTAAACTAGATTACTTAAGTCCAGTTGGATTAATTAAGTGTATTAGCAAGGTGTGTGGCCAAAGAAGCATAACAAGCGTGTTTAGTTTCAATTTCAACTCTAAACATAAGTTCAAGAGAGAATTGGGTCATCCAGAAATGAAAGAAAAAAATTCTAAAAGATGAGGTTTTATGCTACACGCTGCAGCTTGCGGATAAGCTGCCGCGGCGCATGGTCACATTTCTGCTATCATAAGTTCATGAAATGAAGTAGAAAACAGAGGAAGAATAAAGAAATATGAGAGAGCAGTGCTAGGGCTTGAAAAACTCGACTTTTAAAAGTATTTTAGAACTCATAAACATTAAGGGTAAGCTTCTTTACTTAAATCCTTCTCTCTTCTTCCATTTTTTTAATGATAAAAGTTAGGCCTGGTTGATAATGGTGATTTTCAGTTCATATAAACTATGGGTCTGAGCCCATTGACTTAAATAGAGTTAATGAGACTAAATTGAGCTAATGAAACTTAATATTTTATGAAGATGTGATGATTGGTAGTTGAAAGGTATTAAATGCTCAAAAATTCTCATTAATGTGTTAGTTGCGGTAATATAGTCCCATTAATGACCATTAGAGAGCTTAATGATATTAATGAGGATTAAAGGAAGCTAGTAAACCTATGAGTACTTTTATGCGAGTCAATAATGATTCTTAAGTATTGAGAAGTATTGAATTGTTAGTGAAAATTAGCCCAGATGTGGATATTGATGAGTTGCATTGTAAATTACTGTAGAGTGACTATTCATGGCACCATTCAAGCTTTTTGGAAGCTTTAAAAGTGAGTATTTGAGGGATGAAACCTTTAACCTCTCGAAGATTTAAGGTAACCAAAAGAATTTTATCTTATACTTTGTTGTGTGTTAATTGGTTTGTTGATTGCTATTTGATAATTGAATTGTGTGAGATTTGATTATAATGCAAATGTGGCTTGTTGTATTTGAAAAGCCCACTATGAAATGGTGATTTAATGTCGTGCAATGATTTTGAAACTTTAGAGTTCAATGATTGTTGAAGTGTGAGATATAATGATTTTAAAAATATAAAGTTCAGTGAATTTGAACAATGTGAGTTCAATGACTTGAGATATATATGTTACAATGGAATCAAAATTTATGAAGTTCAAAAAAAAACGTGAGGTTGATGAGTTCAGTGATTAATTAACATGGGAGTCCAATGATTTTATTTAGTGGAGTACAATGATTTCTTGTCAATAAGGTTTTATGAGTGTATGTATCGTAAGAATTTCAATAATTTTGCAAAATGGTGGAGTTCAATGAAATTGGTTATGTGGAGTTCTATAAATTATGTTAAATGTGAATTATTGCATGAATATGCATTGCATGATTTTGAGAGGCAAGAGTTCGCATGGGAAGAGAAGTAAGGAATTAAATCTACGTGGTAAGGCTCCTACCCGAGTTGATGGCTTACTCGAATTGATTTTATTCATATTGTCCCATCGGTTTAACGAAGGACTCAAACCTAGCTAGTTATCCACTGATTCAATGAGGAAGCTATTCTAGAGAAAATGGCACCCTATAATGTGAGAAAATGAGGGAAACTGTGTTTCACAAGTGAGTTGGATAAGCCTTAGTCGAGTAATCGCCTTACAAGTAGTTAGGCTGGGGAAGTCCCGGATTACAGACTATCTCACTGTGCTATAGCCCACAATTTCATGTGAAATGAATAAGGAGGATATAAAGAAGGTGTGATCATGCATATAGTAAATAAGGGCACATAGTTGTTTGTATTGTGACCCTAATGATGGATATCATGAATTGAGTATTGATCATTTTTGAGTATATGTCATTTGATTGTGTGACAAGCTCTCTTTTGTATGGAAGTTGTTAAAAAGCATTATTTCACGAGTATTGTGCTATTATGCTGGGAAATGTGAATTCATGCTTTTGAATGTTTTACATGATTTAGAGAATTGATTATAGTTGCCACTTGTATTTAAATTAATTGACATGCATTAGTACAAGTTAGTTGGACCTTAGTTACTAAGTAGTTCTACTCATCCCATTATCTTCAATATTGCAAGGAATACCTCAAGAGGATCGGATAAAGGAAAGCAACCAAAGGTTTAGGACTGTGATCCTATTTAGTAAGCCTCTTTGTTTTTGAGTCTTTATATGTATGTGATGATTGAAATTGCCAACTTGGAATAGTCTATTTTGGTTTTCACTTGCATTATATGTTTTGTAAGTTATAAGTGTATTTTAAGCCCTAAGGAGTGAGTTTATGAAATGCGTTATCTGTAATGGGGCTAAAATACAAATGCAATTAAGAGTCGGCATAATATATTATATTCATGAAATATTCAATGAAACATTCAATGAAATAGATGATATAACTCCTCTTTTTATGTTTTTAAATTAAGGGGTTAAGTATTGAAATTGTGAATTGTAAGTGTTTGATATGACGTGGTGTGTTGTACAAGTTAGTTTTGATGCATTGCATGTGATCTAAGTGGTGTTAATGGTTATTGGCTTTTGGTGAATAAGTTGGATACTTAATTTGGTGAAAATTATTTAAAAAGTGCAAGTTTTAAAAATAGTATTCATATTTTAAATGTGTAATAATTTCATTATGAGACTAAAGCCATTATTTAGAGCTCAAAAAGAGCTTTCCGTAGACGTCTAATTCGCGTCAATTGGACGCCGGACAAAGGAATGGGACTCATCAAAAGTTACCCCAAAAACTATCAAATTGACAGCAAATTCATGCAATGCCACGAGCCGGGGCACATGGTGCCACCAACCACAGCGCATGACATAGAGGCAAACATGCAATGGTACATATTTAATGAGCCATAGCGCACACCCCAATTTCTGTAGAATTACTTTGTTTCCTAATTTTTTTTGTGAATGCACTAATATTTGAAATTATTTCATTTTTTCGCATAATTGTGAACTCTAATTTATCTATTTTAAAGATTTTAAAAATGGTTTTAGCTTTTGAACACTTGGGATCTCAACTTTTCTACTCATTTACAACTTAGTATTATGTTAATTATATTAATTCAATCCTTTAATTAATTGAGATTTTGGAGTTAGTTAATGTTAGACGAAGGAGGATGTTATAACATATATCATGAACTATCCTCTATTTTACTCTTCTTTATTTTACTTTAATTACACACACATATATATTATTTTTGAAATATATAAACTTCTTCTAATGCAGATAATTATAAAACACAAACATTCCCTTTATTTCAAATCACTTGAAAAAATTAATGCATTTACTTTTTTATATTTTAAATTTTTAAGTTATATAAAAGTATTTATTTCATTACATTTTCTAAAATTCAAAGATATAAATTGGTTAAAATAATATTCCAAAAACACAGTTAAAAAATTTAATGAAATAAATATTAAATATAATAACTACTCAAATATAATTTATATATTTTAAAAATTTTATTAATTTTAACACAAAATTTTAAATTATTTATCTAATCTGCAGAAAAACTACTCATACACATAATGGATTGCATCAACATTTGTGTTAATAGAATCGCATCAACGACTCAACCAAAAAGCATTAACAATTTCCATAATCTGGCATCAACTAAAGTTACCTAGCTATTTATTATATGACTAAGTACCTATATTCACAACTTTACATTGAATGAATGTAAGTAATCCTCGTGAATCTAATGTAAACATATACTTTTGCAATAAGTTTGATAAACAATTATAAAAATTAAAAGATTCAATAATAAAGTTTTTATCTATTGGTCTTAAAATACTTTGTGAGCTTCTACAGCAATTCACTAATCATTCTTGCTATCTGAGAAAATAAGGATTCAGTTTTATATCTATTGGTAACTTTGATCATATCTAAGAAAATATATAATATTGCTTAAATGAAAAGGCTTCCAAAATTCTAAGTTGAGATAACCCTAACACCAACACATGATCAAGAACCACAATAATGACAGCAAAAATGATTAAAAATAAATAACTAAATTTGTATGATGCACAGTTTCTAAAACAAACTTTGCTAGATAATCCAGTTTACTGTGATAATATCTCCTTGATTTGTCTAATAACCTGCCAAATTTCTCCTTATATTTCCCCTATATGGCTACACAAATATATCAATATATTAGCAACCTTGTTGAACCATCAGGTGTTGATGAGACATCAGTATTTTAAATTTGCCTCATTGTAATACAAACTACAAGGGGTATTATCAATTCCCATATGCGGCAAAATTTCAAGTATAGCAAAAGCAACAGAGAAATTTTACTCAAACATTACAGGAAATACATAGGAATGTTTTCTTGCTCCTTT